CTGATTATGGTGGAAATTGTTTTGCGTTTTGGAACTTGGCAATTTCTACTTCAAGGTCAATCAAAATATTTATTTTAACGCGATAAATCTTATCAGATGCAATACACAAGCTACCCACCAATTCACATTTAGGTCCAGTGTAGTTTGATCTTATTAGCATTTATAATATTGATTACATTTTCACAATTGGTTCTCGTGAAAGTTGATTGATAGTAGTAAACGTAAGTGTTGTGTCATTCTCACTCGGAATACAAGTGGCATTATTCATGCAAAGATTGGAATCGCACACTGTAACTAAATCATGTAGACCGAGAAACTGATAAACAAATTAAAAGTGGACACTGGAATGGTGTGTAACATACACACAGACGAGATTTCCTAGAGAAATTTATTGACCAGTTTTGTATGCAACTTCATTGAGCACAATCATAAGATATATACCTCCACCTTCCCTTACTAGCATATACTGATCTAGACCAATTCAATTCAATTCAATTCAATTTAATTCATATATACCACGTGTACCCACCAACATTTTCACAGTTTTGTCCAGCGTAATTTGACTGACAGGAGCAGTAGTAGGTAGAATTATCGTCATTCACATAACATGTACCATTGTTTAAACAGGGAGTCGAATCACATGGGCCAACTACAGTAAGTAAAATGTATGGATGAGTGAAAGTTAAACATGATTGATTTATAATAGCAAAATGCCATCACATTGACTCTACCTCGCAGACATGTATGCGTAATTGAACTATAATTAGGCCGTAGTACATAGCAGTTGGAGTTATAAACGTGTAATATAAAGGCTCCATATTAGGTAAAGGGTTAGAACGGCTATCGCCATTATCATAGTTAAATTGTGCAGTTTGTCTACTATATGTTGAATAGCACATAAATTTAGTAACTACCTTCAATATCACACGTTGTCCCACTATATCGAGACGTACAGGAACATATGAACAAAGTAGAGTCAATAAAACCTATGAAACATGTTCCACCATTGTTACAAGGGTTGGGAT